AAGCCATTATGTTTGTCAGATACCAGCTAGGTCCAGGAGGATTTATTGCCGGTTCCATTTTCAGCAGCTTAGTAACTATTTTCGCTCTGTATAACGATATCCTGAAATAAAAATACAATTATTTATACATTTTTCAACACACCTACTCTCTTATCAGAGCTATTTGGTAGACCACTTGAATACTCAAGAATTACTGAACTGAATTATAGCTATCAAACGTATTTTGATTTATAAAACTAAAAATCAATCTGTAACTGAGTTTTCAAAATATCATAATTTCCACAATAAGACAGACCTGAAAAGCTGATAATGTATGCATAACTATTAATAAAAATTCTAGCCTTAGAGCTAAAATAAGTAGAATAAAACAAAGTTATAAATGTGAACACAATTCAATCACAGGAAATTAGTCGTAGAGAAAACAAAAATTTAAGATAAAAATATGCCACTTACGGTCAAAACTCACGTTTAATATCTGAAACGGAACGGCAAGGCACACCTTATCAGAACACTATAAAAAATAACTATTTTTTGTCTCCAAATATTAAATATTTCCAAATTTCTGTTTACCGCTAACCTAAAAACCATTCGAAGTAAATGTCATGTAAACAGGGAATTAAACGACAAAAATCCAGTTACTTACTCTTTAGAGTAACATTAGCGTTTGCCATGTTAGTAACACTGATTAACTAGAGTGAAACAAGTTAACCTATCTTTCGTGTCAAAAAATAAAAGGGGCCTTTGCGAATTCCCTGCAATGCCGGGGCAGTCAGAAAGAGCATTGAAGCTCCTGAGGAGCCTTCCCAGATTATCCTTAAGTAACATCAGAGATAATCCCGGGTCAAGAAACGTAAGTAACTGGAATAAAACACTACCATCTATCCGAAATGGATGTCTAAAGTTTAAACAAACGAATATTTTGTTGTAGTCTCTAAAAAGGGGTCGTGGTCAACATGGAGGCGACTTCCATGGTGAAGGTCAGAGATCAAGACATAATTATATGCGTTTAGGCTACGAGACCGGAAACAATCCCTTCTATCTCCGATTTCCTAGAGAACCATACTATAAAGGCCACCAGTAAGTTAAGAAATATTTCCCATATTGCCTGCCTACTTCATTGTTAAAATGGTACTTTTCGTAGTTTAAAGAGGCAGTATCCGCCACTCTCCTTGCTCCAGCTTCAAAAGTTTGTTGACCTGAATAGAGTGGACACTGCAAAACCGGTAGATCTAGTAGCGTTGCTTAACACTGGACTCTATACTATATCCGTCGATCAAAAACATTTTGGAGCGAATCTAACGGATGAAGGGGCTGATATATTTCAGGCCAAGATAAACCTGGAAGTTCAGTGGGCCAGTGAATTGGTAATTGCTGCAGTTGAGAGAGCTGGTGGTGTGATTACCACTGCTTACTACGATCCTCACTGTTTGCAAGCAATGTGTGACACTAAAAAGTTTTTTGAAAGGGGTAAGAAAGCATTCATTAAAAAGTTTTAGAGAAAATTGGGAAATCATCATCATTACACAAGTCGACGCATTCCTGATGATGTCTTGGTTAATCCATAATTTACTTTCAAGGCATGCCAATCCCACGACGAATGATACCGCCACCAGATGCTATTGAATATTACTCAAGCGCGACAAACAGGGGCTACCTGGCTGATCCAGAGAAGATATCAGAAGAACGTCTGGTGCTGGCGCAAAAATATGGATATACATTGCCGAAAATTGAGGACGATCCTCAGTATGACATGTTAATTCAAAGGAAAGATCCTCGACAGGTGTTCTATGGCCTCCATCCCGGATGGATCGTTAATTTGAAAGACAAAGTAATTCTAAAGCCAAAGGATAAGGAATTGACAGAGTTTTACTCGTCGTAAGATGTTAAATTGAGTATTAAGAAATAAATAATAGACAGTTCTTGAGTCTTATAGTACGAGTGGGGTAGGCGTGTCCACAGAACCGAGCCTCCATGGAAAACTGTTGTGGTTTGGCTTTAGAAGGTCTAAACCATGTTTTGGTCTATGGGCGTCAAGAAAGCTGGAGATCTCAATAAGGCACCAACCCTACATGCCATGGCTCCAACGTACTAATGAAGAAATTAACATAGAATGTAGAAACATTCCCAAGCTGAAGAAATAACCCTGTCTTCATCTATGCAAATAACTGCCAGAAATCAGAGACAAATCGTCAACATTTCCTTTACAATCGCAAATTTTCTAGTTTCAAGTCACATTTTCGGGTTCTTCAATCCTTCGAGAGGCAATTCCAACAAATAAGACACTTTTTCCAAAACGAACGTGTAAAAACCGGCTTATTTAAAACTTCAATTGAAGACAAACAATTGGTCGATAAGGTTTACGTGATCCGGAAAAGCACGTCACCAGGGACGGTTTCTAGGCAACAACGGTTGTTGTCTTCATCTATGGGTTGTTGAATTCTTCGAAAGTACGGAAAATATGGCTTGTGCAAAGACAAGTACTTTTCTCTGCTGGAAAGTGGCTGGAAGTACTTGTCTTTATCTATGGCTGGAAATAGTGTTTGTCTGAGGTTATAAGCAGAATTTGAAATTTTTTTGGAAGGAAACAGAATGGATCACTGATTGTAACCTATAGAAATGTAAATACCAAAACAAAATGTTCAACTTTGGAAAACAGACCATAAAGTTCGTTATAGGATATGCAAAGTATTCACAATCTTCACGTGTAGCAAAACCACTTCCTTTTAAAAAACCAAAGGCCGCTGGAAATTCGGTAAGTAGATATTAGGAAAATATAACCTGCTTTATCAAAATGTCATGCAAATTTGGTATACAATTCATTCCGCACTTTATTTATTTTTCAGTTTATTAGTATCCAGAAAAAACCACGCAAGTCTAAATCTTCTTGAATTCAAGCCTTTTTTGAGAAAACTGCCAACATTTCCCCATCCATGGTTCACTTTCTAAAAAGGCCATTTATTTCTGTCTAGAATGATGTCCAAATGAGCGTTCTTGCTCATTTTGCCTCCGAGAAATGAGCAAAAA